CCCAAAGAGGGCCTTTCAGTGTGAGCATGACAGAAACCTCTGGGCAGTGTCCGGTGCATTGGCGAAGACTTGGGCATTATTACTGTGAGAGTCTCCAAAGGAAGGAGGGAGGATCTACAATATCACCTCCCTTGCTGGGAGCTCCCGCCATCCCTGCTCTTTTCCTGGGAAAGTAATTCTTGTGAAGGCAGTGTTTGGTCAAGGAGCTGAATGATCCTGGTCCCGTCCTCCATAGCTGCACACGAACATCCTGCTCTTTGGCCATTCTCTTAGCTCAGCGACTTTAACCGTTTTCATCTCATGGCATGCACAGACTAATTACCAAAATTCTGCCGCACCAAGAAAAATATATTTTTGCTGATCTGACCAAAAAAAGGTGTAATTTTGATTCATTCACACCAGACAGCTATTGTGTTGGCTGTGGCACACTGATTGAAAATCGCTGCCTTAGCACTTACTCTTTTGTTTTAATATGTTTTTATTGCTTTCAGAGAGGAAGGGAGAGGGGTAGAGAGAGAAACATCAATGATGAGAGAGAATCATTGATGGGCTGCCTCCGGCACACTCCACACTGGGGATCGAGTCCACAACCCGGGCATGTGCTCTGACCAGGAATCAAACTATGACCTCCTGGTTCATAAGTTGATGCTTAATCACTGAGCCACATCGGCTGGCAGCACTTACTCTTGAAATGGACATGATATGACCAATTTACTTTTATCTTTTGTCAACATCTTAGCTCTTCTGAGCATTGATCAATTTTCTGTTCACTTGGGTTGCTAAACCTTTTTTTTTTTTCACAAAACAAATTTTTGCAAATTTAGCTTTCACATTTTATTTTATTTTATTTTTACTTTGGGTCTTTATTCAACTTTATGTCTTTGTTTAAATAAACTTACTGCATTTATTCAACAGATATTTATTTAATACCTGTGTAATGTATCTCTCTTGGTTCTGAAGACATGGTACTAAACAAAACAGAGCAGTCCAGCCCTCCCAGGGCTTATATTCACGATGGGAGAAACAAAATCAGGTCATGATTGAAATCCCTGTTAGCTTGGCAATTGCTTTTGATCCATGGAGATTAACTCCTAAATTCTCCTCTACTTTCCTATCCTTTTTCTCATTTTCTGTCTTGCTAGCTAGATTTCATATGTGCCTGTTTCTTTCTTTAATTGTATTGCTTTTTCCCCTGGTAACTCACTATTTGGAGATAGTTAAAACAAGTTTTTTAAACTTATTAGGCATTATATCTCCAGTACCTGGCACAGTGCATTAAAATTGTTGGAATATTATGTGTATATGTAGGAAGAACATCTCTGAAGGGATCACAGGTAGTGAGTAAGAGCCATTGTGTTTTCTGAGGGGTAGAATAATGTGTAATGTGTAATTAAGGAAGGGAGGATAAGGAGACTTCATTGAATATAACTTTTAATTCTTTTACCATATACAGACATTTTACTGATTTAAAATTGCATTTTTAATCACTCTGTTTTCCAAGCCTTGTTGATCCTTCTGTACTAAGAATTAATCTTATTTTTTCTTTTATAGGCCTTATCTTAAAGCCAAGAATAATTGCCCAAATCCTCCATCTTCTAAATCTGTAAGTAGAAATTAGTCTTTTAAAAAAAATCCATTTTGAGTGATTAGTAATAAAAAATAATAAAGATGTTAGCAACCTAAAGAAAATGTTTTACACAAATATTTCTCATAAGTATGGGAACAGTGTATAAGGGACAAGACAGAATTGTTTTTTGAAAAGTACAACATATTGTAATTCAGTTTAACAAAAAAAGTCTTTAAGTGCACTTTGGTCTCTTCATAGCTAACATTTTTGAACACCTACTATGTGTCTCACTTGTAGGTCTTATAGCCTTATGAGATAGGTACTCTTAGTAGCCCCATTTTACAGATGAGGGAACTGAGTCACAGGACAGCTGTTAAATGACAGAGCTGAGAGCTATTGGTCTCAACCACTTTGGAATGCTGTTTAACAAGAATATGCTCCCTCATCAGTTCTATTCATCTAGATTGTGGATATAATGGAAAAGGACCCCAACATACTTCAGGTTTAACAGAATAAAACCATAAAAAGTTATGTAGTACATGAATGGGTATAAGGAATCTATATACTCTCTGTACTTTTCAGTCAATTTGGATTTGAATCGAAAACTGCTCTAAAAATTAAAGTTTATTAATTAAAAAATAAAGTACTGATACATGCTACAACATGGGTGAATCTCGGAAACATCATGCTAAGTAAAAGAAGCCAGACACAAAAGGCCTTTTCACATCATACTGTGTGATTCCATTTATATGAAATGTCCAGTATAGGCAACTCTATAGAAACAAAGTAGATTAGTGGTTGCCAGGGTCTGAGGAGAGAGGGAAATAGGGAGTAACTTCTAGCAAGTATGGATTTCTTTCTGGAGTGTTGAAAATGTTCTGGAATTAGTGGCGATGATTGTACACCCTTCTGAATACCTAAAACCCACTGAATTGTACACTTTAAATTTTACAGGGATGAAAATTATATCTCAGGGTTTTTTAATGTACAAAAAGAACAACTAAGTTTTTTTTTAATGTACAAAAAAAGAACAGCACACTTTGATACCAACCTCCATGCCTCAGCAGTTAGTGATAATGGAGAGATCAGACATGGCTAGGAATGTTGCGTCTCAAGGAGTAACCCAGCTATAGACATGTGGGTGTACCATCTATTTCTGCCCCCACCTCAGCAACACCACACATATCCATACAATGCTATGAGTGGACAGTGCCTCGCCCTTAATGCCAAGTAGCTCTGGTTTCAGACTTCTTTACATACGCACAAAGTTTACACAGGAACTCTTGACAATATTATTGAATGAAACATAGAGAGTGGTAGCTCTAGCATATTTTCCCCTGGAAACCTGTACTTTACAAATGTCTGCCAAATTAACCTTCCTGTGTAATTGCTAAGAACTGATGCTCCTGTACTTTACCATCTCAATTCTAACTCCCCTCCCTATTTTTCAAAGTTCTCTATAATATAGTCCTACCTTTCTTATCCAAAATTAAGTCACATGACTAAAACATGTACTTATTAATAACATAGAATCTAACCTTAAAATCCATCCTGAGTTCACAAATATGACTAACTTCTGTGATGTTAGATGCTTATAGAGAGCTGTTCAAAGTTTCTCAGGCCTCCCTGCATCTACTATCTGTCCTTGCAAGTGATGAGACAAAGGTTCTTGAGTGACATTGTGGCCTTTATAAAGGCAGTGTTGTCTTTAAAATATTAGTGTGGCCGTACAAAGGACTAGGAAGAACTTGGGTGGTACCTTAACATAAGTATACTGTGTGTATACCTTTCCAGGGTCCCTCAAATGAACACTTCACTGGGACCTAATGGGCATTGAGCAAGTACTTGTTTGGTTGAGGCATGTTTTTTAAAACAGCAAGTTTTATATGTTCACTGCATCTCTGCTTAATTCTATCAAGCTAAGATGCTGATACATTTTTATAGGAACTCACTAGAGGCCCGGTGCATGAAAATTCATGCACTGGAGGTGGGGGCGGGGGTGAGGTTCTCAGCCCAGTCTGCCCCCTCTCACAGTCCGGGAGCCCTCAGGGGCGGGAGGCAACCCAGCAATCAGGGAAAGGCGATGCCCCATTATACCTCTGCTGCTGCCGCTGCCGGCAGCACAAGCCTCAGCCAGCCCTGGTTACCTGAGCCTCGGGCAGCCCTGGGCGTCTGGGAAGCTGCCATCCAAGGCTTGCCTGCGCCCTGGCCCAGCCCTGGGCAGCTGGGGGGCTGAGGGTACTGGGGGTCTCTGGAGGCAGTCACGTGGAGCGGCCAGGCCCGCCTAGGAGCGGGCCCAGCCTTGCTGCACCTGCCACTCCGGCAGGGCTGAGGGGACTGGGCGCTGCCATCTTTGAGGGGGTGGCAATCAATTAGCATATTCCCTCCTTATTGGCTGTGGGTACCCGCCATCTTTGAGGACAGGGCAGTCAATTAGCATATTCGCTCCTTATTGGCTGTGGGCGCCACCATCTTTGTGATGGTGTGAAGGTCAATTAGCATATTCCCTCTTTATTAGATAGGGTTATTAAAATCCTCTATTAGTGAGCCTTTATTTTCTCAGGTTTCAACTTCCTTAGTGAAATTTTAAATAAAACAACTAATTTTTTTAAGTTAGTCATTCTTATAAATTTTCTTTTTTGATATTTTTCTTTGTCTTTTTAGACTATTAGACCCAAAAAGGATGTTGCCAACCATGTTGCTTTGCCTGTCAAAGCTACAAAACCCATCAGCATTAAACATCAGCCCAGACCTGCCATTATCCCAGGTTCCCGGAAGCCAAAGTTGGAGCCACCAAAACTTCTGGGCAAAAGGCTGACTTCAGGATGTGTTTCTTCTCTCCCAAACTGTCAGCCTTCCAGCAACCGTCATCAACAGCACAAAGCTGGATCATCCTCTGGAGAGCTGTTGAGGAAAACTGTGGGGTCACTTCATCTACAGGAACTGAAAGCTGCAAAGCAGCAGGTGACAGATCAAGGAAATACTGCACTTACAGACTCTGTGGACAATGACCGTGGTGAGGGTGAGTCCTCACACAACTTTCTAAAAGAGGTGAACAAAGAGAACTTGTCCCAAACTGTACTGGACTCTGAGAAGACACCACATCCTCAATTATGGACCAAAAATGAGCCAAAGACTAGCTCTTATAATCAAACCAAGAGCAGTTTGGCCCCTAAACAAACCTTAGGTAAAAGTTCATTGAATCGTGCTGTTCTGAAAGACAGAGCTAATAAACAATTTGTTGGAGAAGCACAAACCAGGATTCCACCAGGAAAGTCACAGCAGCTCCCTAGAGGAACAGCTCTTGCAAAACTAGGAGTAAAAACCCCAAAGACAGCTCCCTCTCACTCTGTTCAGACTCTTAGTAGGACTCAAGCAGCAAAGAAACCAGGGATCAAGGACCTGAAGGATATAAATATTAATAGGGGTAAATATGAAAGACCAGGTGCAGCCAAATTACAGTCACATGCTGCTACTGAACAAAAAGCAGTACATACCAGATCCAGGACATGCCCCAGTCTGCTTCAAGGAGGACCTGACTGCCTTAAGCAAGACCAGAAACCCACTCAACCTTGTTCTAGACCTCAGATGTCATGTGTGCAGCAGAAATCCAAAGCTGTGAGCCAAAGGCCTACCCTGGCTGTTGGCAGCTTCCCTTCAGTCATTCCCAATACCCCAAGCATAAGAGCAAGTACAGCCAAGGGGAATAAACACAGCAGTAGCTGTCAACAGAAAGCACAGACCCTGGACTCCAAGTTGAAAGGGGCTCTTCCCCAGAATCCCTTTCTAAACAAGACAGCTCCCAAAACTCAAGCTGGTGGCACAGCCATAAATGGAAGAAGAGTCCCAAATGGGACCCAGACTAACCCGGATGTTAAGAAGAAGATCACAGCAGAGGATCGAAGGTATGTTGCTTTAATTCCAAAATTGCAATGTAAGATGATTAGGCAAATTGACCATCAGGAATACTTGGTCAGAAAATAGGCCATAAATAGTGGCTCCTGGGTTATTCTTAGCTTCAACTCTGAAAAAAGAATATTTGAAGCAAATATAGTAAATATTCTCTAACTTTCTATGTGCTTGAAGCAGGATGGTTGAGTAAAGAGTTGTGGTTGCAGGTATACATGCCTCACTCAGGAAGTCCCTTTAGGTTAAGCAGCAAGGGAAGAGCGCCAGGAGGAGGTGGGGGAATGCTAGTCTTTTGTCAAGCAGACCAGGGGTTAAGTCCAGAAAAGCTATCAAGGAAGAAGGAATGGAAAACTATGAGTCTGAGCAGGCAAAGTTTTGGAAAGTCAGTAAGGCTTTCATAGTTACAGTTACATGACTACATTTGTTGAACTCTTAAAATGGTGGATTTTACTGCATGTTATTGAACACTTGTGTGTTTAGGTACAGTGCTAGGACAGTCAGGATTTTTGCCTTCCTAGAGCTTGCAGTCTAGTGGAGAAGACAGGAAGTGAACACAGCCTATATAATAAAAGGCTAATATGCAAATTGACCAAACAGCAGAATGGCCAGTTACTATGACGCACACTGACCACCAGGGGGCAGACGTTCGATGCAGGAGCTGCCCCCTGGTGGTCAGTGTGCTCCCACAGGGGGAGCATCGCTCAGCCAGAAGCCCTGAGCCAGGCTCACAGCTGGTGAGCGTAGCAGCAGTGGCAGGAGCCTCTCCCACCTCCGCAGCAGCACTAAGGATGTCCATGTGCCGGCCAGGGGAGCAGGCCTAAGCCGGCAGTCGGATATTCCCTGAGGGCTCCCAGAATGCAAGAGGATGCAGGCTGGGCTGAGGGAACCCCCTAGTGCACAGATTTTGTGCACTAGGTCTCTAGTTGGTTAAATAAGACAGGATAATTACAGATAATTTCCTAGTCAGGAAGGACCGAAGGCTGATTATGCCAGACCCCTGAGGCAGGAATGAGCTTGGGTCAAAAGATTAAAAGGACACCAGAGCTTCTAGAGCAGTGGTTCCCAACCTTTTTTTGTCCATGCCTCACCTAAGCATCTCTAAAACCTGGTGTCCCTCACTGTGACATATAATAGTTATTATTCAAAAAGTGAGCTCCTATTCACATGGAGGAAGCCTAAAAGGCCATTCACTTGTTCTAAACAAGCTTCCAAAGAACATGGCATCCATGAAAGAGAAAAATAAAAGAACAAAAGGAATTTGAAGTACTGAGGAAGAAATCACTAAGAAATTGTTAAAAAATAATAATAATATGAAGTGATATGAAAAAGAGCAAATAAAGTTTCAAAACATAAAATAGAGAACTGAAATGCATAAATATGTCACAATATATATTTATATACTGTATATGAAGCCCCTAGAACCATAAGAAATGCAAACAATTTATTGTTAACTCACTCTCAAATTGCCCCCCTTAAAAAATTAAATTGCCCCCTTATGGGGCATGTGCCCCACGTCGGGAACCACTGTTCTAGAGGGTAGGGATGGGAGGGAAAGTGTGCGCCATAATCTTGGAGAGGCTGGCAGAACTCAAGTTACACTGCCATTCGCCATAGAAAAAATTTTGAATTTTATTTCTGGTGATGACTCAGTCTGGCTTACATTTTAAAGATCAATCTAGATATGTGTTCACAGGATAAATTTGTCAAGGGTTAAAATGGAATCAAGGAAGGAGATGAGTTCGGAGGCAGCTGCAGCATTTCAGGCGGAAAGAGGCAGTGAAGTGTCTAGGAGGGTGCTGGTGGAGATGGGAGCAGTACCGTCCATAGATGGTGTGGAGATGTGGGAAAAGAAAGTACTGCTCAAAGGCAACTCCTAGTTTTCGGCCCTCCCAACTGGGTGGATAGGGACACTGTTACAGATGCAGGGGCAGATCTAGAGATGAAAATCGAGCGTTGTTTTGGACAATATTAAATTTGAAATGCCTGTCAGACATCAAACAAAAGATACCAGCCAGGATGTGGGTTTTACAAAGGCTGGTGCTGTAGGGAGAGATCTGGACTGAAATGTACATTTGTGAGTCATGAACTAGTTATAATTTACAGAAGCTAGCAAGTCTACATCCACACACGGCCCACATGTCTTGGTTCCTCCCCCAGCAGCAGTCTATCGGCTGCTCAGAAGTAGGAGTGGAGATTGTGAAAAGTGGGGGAGAGCAAGGATTAGGACTTGTCACCATCTTTTGAAAGAGTCCTGAAATTATTGGTCTTTTTTAGAGTAAAGGGGGCCATGTGTGGTCAGGAGCAGACTAAGGAACTGGGCAATGTGGGTCACTTTGAGTGGCCAACACCCTGTTGAGGCCATAGTGCGGGTATGCTGAGACTGATCAGTGGCAAATGTCAAGCTTGTGGTAAGAGAAATGGAGTGCTGAGTTAGTGAGCTCAGAGATGAAAGTCAAATCTCAGAGTTAGCGCACAAGTAAAATGAAAGTTTTCAGAGAAAAATCATGTATAATCTTGACATCAAGGGATTTGAAGACTGAGATGCTAGCCACCTCTAATCCTAGTAATGCCGCCGCCTTCCGAGGAGGGGCAATGACCCACTGCTGCCATTACCCATTTGTAACTTGCTTTTAATTCCAGTCTCCTGACTTTGTACTTGAAGGTGTTCAGTGATAGTACTCAAATCCATGCATAGCATATACTTTGAAGCTTGGCCATGTACCCAAAAACCTGAAACCATTCCTCCCCTCTAATTGCATAACAGGAAACAGCTGGAAGAATGGCAGAAATCTAAGGGGAAAATGTATAAGCGGCCTCCAATGGAACTTAAAACAAAAAGAAAAATAATAGAGGAAATGAATGTTTCATTCTGGAAGAGCATGGAAAAAGAAGAGGAAGAAAGGAACGCACAGCTTGAACTGTCCAATAAAATTAACAGCACTCTGACCGAGTGTCTGCAGCTCATCGAAGGGGTGCGTGAGGAGGGTAATCCCCAAAACTTTGACCCAGAGACATTTTTCTTAAAGTGTTGGGGAGGTAACCTGTCTAAACAGAAATTTAGTTACTTGCTGTGGGGGATAGTTTTGTGTGGGGTTTTTTCAGTTTTGTCTGTGGTTGTTAGTCTACTTAGGGCTTGTATTTCTTGGGCCAATTTTACTAATTTCACGCCTTTTATTTAAATCAAACTTGTTAAAGAGTTCTCTATTACTCTTTTTAAACGGTCATCTTTTGAGTTGTATTGATTATTTTTCTCTTATATCAATATCTACATCTATTTTTATGTTTATTGTTATTTTTCTAGCCTTTTAATTGAAAGCTCAGACCATTTAATGCCACATTTGTCTCTGAATTTAGCTTTGGTCATGTCCTTCAGGTTTGATAGGTAATGTCCTTCATCATTCAGAGTCGAGTCAGAAAAACGGAAACCACACCAGGTATTGTAATAGAGCATGGTGTTGGGATTGGTTTCACAGTGTCTTACATGAGTTTCCAAGAAGCAAACATAAGAATTTGTATGAAAGTAATTTATTAGGAAGAGGCTCCCAAGACAATAAAAGGGAGTGGGATGTGGGACCAGAAAGGGAAGGAGGCCAAGCAAAGTCCACGGAGGGTGACTGGCACAGTCCCACAGGAAGCTCTAGGGACAGTGTGAGCCATGCATCTCAGAGTCGGTCCTGATCTGGGGCACTGCACTGAAAAATGGCTGCCCCTGGGGGACAAAAGTCCCAGGCACTTCTGACTGAAACATACTAAGGAGGTGCAGGTGCTGGCTGTTGGGCATGACAGCACTTTGTGAGCATGTGTGCACCAAAATGGTGAAGGGATCATCAGAGGGATATGGGTGCTGCAGCCATAACGCTGGGTCCAGGAGAACATCATGTTGGGGGTACAGACCTAAAAGCTAGGAGAGACAAACCCTGGTGGGACTGGGACTCTAGCTCTAAAGAAGTATGCTGCCCAGCAGAGGTTGGTGCCACCGAGCTGGACGGGGCCCTGCAAGGCTGGGCTCAGACCTTGAGAAAAGGCTGCTTCCCCATTGGTGTGGGCAGGGTTTGTGAATACCAGGATAAGGGGAGGTAGAACCAGTTGCTGCTGCCAGGGTAAAGGACCATTGTTGTGTGATGAAGGCAAACAAAAATACAACCAGAGATATAGAAGCATCGAACAGACTGTACAACCTATGAGGGAAGGAGGGAGAGGGGGAGGGAAGAGGAGGAGGGAAGGGGAGGGGAGAGGAGGGGAGAAGGAGTGGGGAGAGGGTTAGAGATCAACCAAAGGACTTGTATGCATGCAAAACCAATGGACACAGACAGGAGTGAGGGCTTGTGCTTGGGGGTGGGGGTTGCGAGGGACAGGTCAATAGGGGGAAAAGGAGACTCGTAATATTTTAAACAATAAAGAATTAAAATGAAAATAAAAAGAGGAAGAAGGGGTCCCCTCTCCTCTCCCACCCTGCAGTTTCCCTCATGCCCCACATAGGCAGAGCCCAGCAAGGAGCTATTGTCAGCAGAAGGTGGTTTACAGGGTCACAAAGCAGAGGAGAAAGGACGGATTTGGAGCTAAGACACCATCCTGTAGTAACCTTGTGTTCTTCTTGTTGCTCATTTCTAAAAAGCTTGAGGCTTCCATTTTTAACAGGTCTCTAACTCCAGAGTTATCTTCAAAAGCATCCTTTAACTTCTAGATGTGTCCATTTTTTTCTTGGCTATTTTTTATTTTTTAATATACTGCATAGAATTTGTTGACATTTTCTTTCTGGCCTTAATGTCTGATCAGTCTTGGTAAGTGTTCCAAAAGTGTTTGAAAAGAAAATGTATTCTCTGTAGAATGGAAAATTCATCTAATGGGTATTCATCAGAACAAACTTAAAAAATATTAATAGCACAGTTATTTGTATTTGTTAGTTCATTTGTTGCTTCCCAAAAGAAATATGACAAAGTCTCTCACTGGTACTTTGATTGATGTATTTCTGTCAAACTTTTACTGCCTAATTTTTAAATTAGATTTATTGGGGTAACATTGGTTAATAACATTATATAAACTTCAGGTGTACAACTTTATAACAGGACATCTGTGCACTCCATTGTGTGTCGCCACCCGAAGTCTAGTCTCCTCCCTTTGCCGTATTTTCCGGTTCTCTTGTTAGGTACATAAAGACTCATGACTTGCTTTCATTTCCCTTCTGTCTTATGTTAATCTTGCCACACCTGCTTTTTGTTTATGTTAGATGTTATAGGGTAAATCTTTTTCCATCCCTGTATTTCTAGAAGTATATCTCATGTGAATACATACAGTTGAGTTTTTTTAATTAATCTGGAATTCTCTGCTTTTAAAAAGCACATTTAGCCCACACACATTTATTGTAATTACTCATATGCTTAAATTTACATCTGTCATTTTATTTTATAATTCAATTTATATGAATTCTTTTTCCCCCCCTCATTTCTGTGTTTGATTTAATTTACCTTTTTCCATAAAGAAGGCATGTAAGTTAAAATCACAAAAGATAGGGGTAGATGTAGGTTCAAACATGGTGTGCAAGTTGCAGGTCATATTTTTTATAGTTTCTTTTGTTTCAAGTCTTCTACTTGAATTCTCACGTTTATTCACTAGTTACTTCATGATTTTTGAATGGTGAGCTTGCTGAGTCCTTATGCTTGTGAAGATGTCATTATTTCACTCACATGCTGAAATCATAGTTTGGCTGGGGGAAATTTCTAAATTCAAATTGTTTTCCCTGGAAAATTTGAAGTTACTGTTTTATTTTGTGTCTTACATCACGTTCCTCTGTAGATAATCCTGGTTTTCCTCTCTAGAGGTGCGTAGGGTTTTCTTTTTATCGTTTGTTTTCTATAATTTTCTAAGTAAGGACCTTTCAGTCTGAACACTTTTTTCCTTGGTCAGTTCTTGGAGATTTTCGTCTACAACTGCTTTGAGTGTGTGTTCAGCTTTGTTCTCTCTGTTTTTTCTTCTAGACGTTCTCTTGCGCAATATTGAAATTACTGCATAATAGACATATTCTCCAGAACTTTATGCCTCCTCATGTAGTGTTGGTAATTCTTGACTATGAGCTAACCTCTGTGTCTCCCACCTCCCCTCCCCCATCTCACAAGGAGTAGGAAGTGCTGCCTGGCTGAGTACACTGGTACCTGGCACATGTTCCTCCTGGTCCATTTCCGTGCCCTGCTCTGGGTACAAGCCAGGGGGGCACCAAACCAGTGAAGCCACTTTAAAGTTCCTTTTTGTGGAACTTAACCCTCTTTCATATATACCTGTACAGATCCCCCAAAACACACACATACACACCCCTATAACCCTGGCACACCTATGCCATCCTTTATGCCTCTGTTAGAGACATATGGAAATTATGGTCAATCAATGTCAAAACTCATTGAAATGTACTCTTTAAATGAGTGTATTTTATTACGTGTAAACTGTACCTTGGTAAAATTGAAATGTTTTTAAAGTTAAAAATAATTATTGATCAGACTGATTTCTGCATAACTGCTATGTTAATATTAATAATAGGACACATGAGTAACAGTGCGATGGTAATAATTTCCTCTGGGTATTTTTTTTTCCTAGGGTGTACTTTCTAATGAGGTATTTACCATATTGTCTAGTATACCTGAGGCTGAAAAATTTGCTAAATTCTGGATCTGCAAAGCAAAGTTCTTGGCAAGTAAAGGCACCTTTGATGTTATTGGACTGTACGAAGAGGCCATTAGAAATGGGGCAACAGTGAGTATCTGTCTTGAGTGGGTGATTTCCTGAAAATTCTCTCATACTAGTATGAGTTCTATTGTTTGTAATATGGCAGTTTATATTGCACAAATTCGTGCAAGATGGGGTCCAGCCAGCCCAGCCCCAATCAGGGCTGGGCCTGCCAGGAGGAGAAGATGGCGGGAGGTTGGCCAGCCAGCCCTCCCCGATCAGACCCAATCAGGGCAAGGCCGGCTGGGGGGAGGGGCAAAGGGTGATTGGCCAGTGGGCCCCACCCCCTATTGGGGTTGGGGGCTGATTGGAGGAAGGGCCAGCCATGGGGAGGGGCTGTGGGCAGTGGGCCAGGCGGCCCCACCCCCAAATGGGTGGGGGGTGCCCATCAGGGGCCTGCAGCCCGGTCCACCGGCCCTCCCCCTGATCGGGGTGGGGGCGGGCGGATCTGGAGTGGGGCCGGGCAGGGGAAGGGCTGCAGGAGATTGGCCAGCTCGCCCCACCCCCTATTGGGGTGGGGGGGGCGATCAGCGAGAGGGGCTGCAGGTCAAACAGGGTGGTGGGGACCCATAGGGGGCAGGACCGGCCACGGGGAGGGGCTGCAGGAGATTGGCCAGGGGGCAGGGAGTGTGTTTGGGCAGCTGGCCCTGCCCTTGATCAGGGTGGGAGAGTCCAATCAGGGGTGGGCTGGCTGGGGGGAGGGGCTGCGGGAGGTTAGCCAACTGGCCCCACTCCCTGATTGGGCTGGTTCCCTAGCCACCATGGGCATCATAGCGACCAGTCACTCAGGTTGTTTCAGCGTTACGCTGGCTTTTTAAATATATAGACTAGAGGCCCAGTGCATTAAATTCATGCATGGAGTGGAGTGTCCCTCAGCCTGGCCTGCACCCTCTCCAATCTGGTACCCCTCGGAGGATGTCTGACTGCCAGTTTAGGCCTGATCCCTGATCTCACCGGGATCGGGCCTAAACCGGCAGTCGGACATCCCTCTCGCAATACAGGACCACTGGCTCCTAACCGCTCGCCTGCCTGCCTGCCTGATTGCCCCTAATCGTTCCTGCCTGCCAGCCTGATCACCCCCTAACTGCTCTCCTGCTGCCTGATTGATGCCTAACTGCTCCCCTGCCAGCCTGATCGCCCCCAACTCCCTTCCCCTGCCGGCCTGATTGCTCCCAACTGCCCTCCCCTGCCAGCCTGATCGTCCACAACTGCTCTCCCCTGCTGCGACCCACCTCCTCTGCTGGGCCCTGCCTCTGCTGTGCGCACAGCCATCTTGTGACGGCCATCTTGTGACAATGTTAGGGCATGATGCGTGAGGGTGTTACGACCACCTAGGCTATTCTTGGTATAGATTATATATGTAATGTAACTTCTAATTCACTTTATAAAGTTATACATAGAATGTGAAGTTCAATATGTCCTTTATGAACATTTTATTAAAATATGGCGAGGCTCAGTGGTTGAATGTCAACCTTTAAACCAAATGATCATGGTTCTATTCCCAGTCAGGGCACATGCCCAGGTGGAGGACTCGATCCCCAGTAGGGTGCGTGCAGGAGGGATCAATGATTCTCATCATTGATGTTTCTATCTCTCCTCTCCCTTCCTCTCTTAAGTCAATAAAAATATATTTTTTTAAAATATTTATGCTGTATAAACTAATGGTCACTTTTCTTTGTCTCACGTAGTACTTATCATATAAATATGCACTTATGGAAAGTAGCATAGCAGGTTATAAAATTACATTAATTTTTAATACTTATAAAGTCATACCTCACCATAAAGAACCTACACGTATACTAATCCCAACACATCAATATCTATAAATCAATAACTCAGAGCTATTGTATGAAATTCCTTTTAATTGTAAAACTACTATCTCTGTATAATTTTTAATAAAAATATCAAGTAGTTTGATAGCTTTTCACTTGCATGTTGCTTTCTGTGTCAGCATATATTCTACATACCTTTTTCATGATTGTTCAAAATCAGAATTGTACATGCATATAGTTTAAACAGTCAAATAGTTTGATAAGGTTCTTTAAATAAGGCCTCTGCTCCCCTCGCCTTCCATTTCCAACTTCCCAGAACAAACTGATTATATTTACCTGTATAATATCAGATAACATGCTTACATTGCTATTGCCTGATTTTTTAGTTTTAGACATGATTGTGGACTTCCAAATACAGAGGAATAGGATTTAACCTCTTTCATACACACCTGCGCAGACCCCCAACACACACATATTCCTATGACCCTGGCATACCTGTGTTATCCTTCATGCTTCCTTCCATTAGAGTTATGGAAATTGTGGTCACTATTCCATATTCACATTGTTATGAACGTGTTAGAATTATATGAGTACATTGAGCCATGTACTATATACTATGATTACTTTGCCTTTCAAGCACTACTTTCTACTTTTCCTAAAATTGTTTGGTTTTCTGAGTGTTTATTGTTTAATTAATTCCCACACTTCTCTCTAATTGTCTAAATTTCTTTATACTTTCAAAACATCAGACACTATTTCTTTTTCTTTGAGCCCTTTCTCCCAGACTCTTCTGATCTGTCCCAGTCTCAGCAGGTTAGCTTCACCCCAGTCCTCATGGACTACAGTGGGAGCTCCTCTCACCTTCACCGTCAGATTCCCTTTATGTCCTTACACCTGAGTTCCTAGAAACCATGTCAAGTTTACTTCTTCCTGCATTGTCTGTTTCTTCTCCAGTGCTTTCTCTCCTCTCTCTCTCTCTCTCTCTCTCTCTCTCTCTCTCTCTCTCTCTGTCTCTCATTCATTTTGTTTTGTTTTCTATTGCTCATTAAAAGCTCTACTCAGATGCTAGTGAAACTGGGCTGTTGGCATATAAGAGGTGGGTTTGAAAAGGCTTATTGAAAGACCTGGGCACAGGGGTGGGGCTTTACCACAGGTGATCTAGCTGAGTCAGTTGGCTGAAGACCCTCATTATCAGTAGTTTTGGGTCCTTTCTCTTAGACAAATCATCTTCTCTAGCGAAGACTTTTCCAGTTTCCTTCTGGGAGCCAGGAACAGTGGGGAGAAGAGTGGGATTCTCAAGCTTCAGCAGAAAACTTTCCTTTATCTCTTCCTTTCAGTAGGCACCCCACTTTCAGTCTTGTAGGATGTTCCCCGTGGACCTGGAGAAGGCCCCTGCTGTGTTCTGTAGGGAGTAGGGCACAGTCACCAGGCTGCATGGAACTCAGAGTGCAAAGTAGACTGGGAGACAGATGTTCAATAGTCTTCCTGATCCTGCCCACCCATTCCTGTGCCTTTCCGAGGCCCTGAGGCTGGGTCAGTTTGTTTCTTGGCCAAACTGCCAGCTTTAAAGTCGGCTCTTTCAAGTTGATCCAGTTGGTCATTTCTTCCTTCTACATTCCAGCTTCCAAAATCCTGTTGCTGTTTCTCCTTTCCTATTTTTTATGGTTATTGCCTCCTTTTAATCCCTTTCCTTTTATCAGTTTCAAGGGGGTTTAAAAATAAATATATTGCCAATTCATCATCTTTAACTAGAAGCCTGTAAAAACATGAAAGACACCTCATGAATGTTTTATGTAATTCAGGCTCTTTGCAATGTATTCTGTACATTTATTTCCATATTTTTAAGCCTAAAACATTTTAGATTTTATAAAAATGTATGGATAGCTTTGCTTTTATGCTCAGTATCAGGTCATACCTGTTATTTATTTGATAGAGTCCAGGTCAGAAGACCAGCCTCCTATGAGAATGTGCAGTTCATTTGTGATGTTCTGCCTTAGGGTGTGGCTTGCCTACTTTGGAAAAGGAAGGCTCTCTCAGCTAATTTTTTAAAAAATTACCTTTTTGTAATGCTTTTAGGTTATATTACCAAGTAAAAGATGAAAGGACAGAAAGGCTGAGAGAAAATTGTCCAAAGTGCTGATAACTAAAGGTTGTAATTGGGTGATGAGACTATGGGTGATTTCCTTTCTCAGGTTTGACCTATTGTTAACATTTTTTTGTAATGAGGTATATGACTTTTATAATAAAAACCAAAATTAACTAAGACAATTCTAAGAATGTATGCCACATTTATTGTATGGCTATCTTTATATCTTTGGGCCAGAATCTGTATATGGGAACACATCTTCAATGGGATCATATAAGTCAATAAAAAAATTAATTTGTTTTAGATAAATTTTCTTATAGACAACTTTCCATCAACCCATCTCTCCATTAAAGTCAAGCATGCCACCATTTAACCGACATTTTCTTTGTTGATTTTTCCCATGAAGCTATAAGTCTGAAATTTTTTCAATGTTATTTATATTTAGACAAGAGATAAAAGAAATATTTTTATTATAAAAAGAAGTTCATTTGATGTTACACAGAGTTTCTTAGATTATTTTTTCATTAATGTTTTAATATTGTTCATGTCTTTTCATCCTTCCTTCCAGCCAATACAAGAGTTGCGGGAAGTTGTTCTTAATATTTTGCAAGACCAAAACAGAGCCAGAGACGGTACTGTGTTTTGTATTTAAATTCACTCCCTTTAGCCCTACAAGCACAAGTCATTGAGGGTCACCTAGGAGAAAAAGAAGTCCTCTGAAATGCGTCTCGCCCTTGGTTTCTGTTGTCTGGCCCTCTCAACCAGTATCCTTCAGGAGATAAAATGGATTATTTTTATGAAATTAGAAGATGACAAATCTTTTTCCTTAAGAATAGATTTAACTTTGGGGAACAAATCACGTGAAATTACAGCTACTAACGCATCACTTTGGAGAATGAGGCTACGGAGTAGATATACTCAGTGGCACTCTTACTGGGAATGATGCTAAAATTCAAATGTTTGTTTATAATATATGACAATATTCTTCCAATATTGTCATATTGGAGATGAAAAGAGGAGACAGGAATTCATGTCTTATTACTTGTTCACCCTTATTGACCTTTCTTAAGGTCTCAGCCTCCAGTCACAGTTTCTGCCTATCTCAGTCTAATTTCCTTCTTTTCATTTTGGTTGTTAAGGTTGGGCTATCATGCGAATTGAGTTAACACAAGACATTTTTCACCCACTGTCCAAGGCAAGAGCCATATGGTCATCCTGAGTAAGGAGGGCAGTTAACCCTAGTGAGTCAAGAAAATTGACCCAAGGCGTGGTATAGGGTAGGGTAAAAGGCCAGTGATTAGTCCCTGGGAGAGCTCTCTGGAGAGTGAATAAGAAACTGGGCTGGGGCTCTGTTCAGAGTTACCCATCCTCAAGTGGGGGGCAGAACGGGGGTCAAGAGACAGCCTGAGGTAGCTGGGCACTGCTGCAGAGCTTAGCAGCAAAACTGGCTGTACGTCCCACTTCAGAGCAGTTTCTCTTTTTTCATATCTGGGTCCATAAGGAAGTCATCATATAGGTTACAATGATTTCATTGTATTGATTTTAGCTAAGTACTAAATTGCTAAATCTTGCTTTCCTTCCTGACCTTGTGTACACAGGAATTACCTCTGAATCTTTGGTTGCTGAAACTACTATACCACCCATAGAAGAGCTGGCCAGGGACATGGAATCTGGAAGAAAGTCTTGTCTTTCTCCAAAAGAGAGAGAACAGGTCCCAGCAACACCCCAAATAACCGTGGCAGAACAGGATAGGCACCCTGGTATCAAATTACAGGTCGCCCCCATCCCCAGGTAAGCACTCTCTGAAGCAGGCTTCGTGCTCACAGGTCCAGTTCTACCCCACAGATCCAAGTACTGTCAGTGTTTGCACATCTTCTGCCTCATAGACAGATGAGGTGGTGTAATTCATTCTTGGCATTGAGGGAAGGAGCTGAGGGTGAGGGGAGGGTTGGAACGGACCGAGAGAACTGGCCTATGGCAAGGGAGGTGCTGCTGGAGTCACGAGGGTTTGGGGTGGATTTCTCCTTCCTCTTCACCCTCACTGGCCTTGCACTTGTAGACCCCACCTTCCTTTCCTGCCAGCCTGGCACGGATTTGGGGGGTGGGGGGCACAAAGTGCCAACAGGGGCAGCCTCTGTAGCTGTGCGGAGGAGTGGCAGCGAGCAGCCCCATAAAAGCAGGGAGGGCGGCTGAGTGTGTACTGGTTACAGACTGCTCAGAGTACCAGTTGGCTTTTTAACAAGTGTAAGTTTAAGGCAGAATCCATAGTAATTTAAGGAATTGTGTCAGGTTATCAGTGTCATTTTCTGAAACATTAATGTAACATCAGTCTCTGTTCATGACCTGAGAGCAGATGGAGTCCACCCAGTTCATTCTGACAATCAGAAAAGGGCCATGTTAGGAGGAGAGCTGCTCTAGACAGAACTATCAACCTACATTGAAATATCTATTGTGCCTTATTAATAGAATAAGAAAGAAATAAGGACAAAGTGGAATTTTAAAAGAAGCGATAAAGTTGTGAATACCTCTCCTGTTTCTCAGAATAAGCGGGATGCCGGAAGTGCAGGACATGAAGCTAATCACTCCCGTACGGCGCTCAGTGAGGATCGAGCGAGCCGTGTCCCGCTATCCGGAGATGCTGCAGGACCATGATTTAGTGGTGGCTTCTCTCAGCGAGCTCTTAGAAGTGGAAGAAACAGAGTGTTTTGTATTCCATAAAAATGAGGCTTTGCCTGTAACATTAGGGTTTCAAACCCTTGAATCATAACTTCTTGCGCCTCCATGAGTCAAGAAATGCCCTCGTCCAGCTGACCTGGGAGAAACTGTCGTGGACGCAAACCAGGACTTGGAAAGTAGCTTGCAAGACTCGCTCTCAAATTGTCTATCTCACACAGGATAACCTTGGCTTGTTTGTTTAAGGTTGTCATTTGCCAGTTTCACAGCATCCAGAAATTTCACACTATTGAACATGAATTAATCCCACAAGTATGGTAAGGACATGGAAGGTTGGTGTCACAGTAAGACAGACCTTCCTCGCTGTGTCCACCTCAGTCCTCCCAGCGTGGACGGTCTGAGCTCAGGTCATGTGGGACATGACAGGCCACCTGGTCAGTTCCCCTCATTTTACAGATGAATTTATACTCACCATGCCTTTGCTCAGCAACCATAAACGGTTTACATATGACCTTTGCCTCTGTCACCGTGTCCTTGTGACGAGGGGTACGTCCTTTCTCTGCCAGATCTCCTCGTGAAACAAACAATCCTGGATTGGGATGGTCGTCGAGTTTTTTATATCCAGACCTAATTTTTGCATTTGTTATTCAAAATGTTTTAAGTAAAGGCAAAAATGGGAGCAGGTGGGGAAGGATGCTTGCTTTTGCACTTCAGTTCTGTGCTCTGCCAGGGAACCCCCGCCTAAAAAGGCGGTGTGAGCCTCAGAGACTCTATGGGTTGCCTTTTCTTCCTTCTGAGCAACTGCTCTTGGGAAGGTAAAATCTGAATCACTGTAAATATAATGTAGAGAACCCGGTTCAACAGCTTTCTTAATATTTAAGTATTAACCAAAAAAAGAACATTAAATTTTGTTTATTCCTGCTTCATTTTATCTTATTTATTACAAAAGAAACTGATGATGGCGTGAGAATTAGTGGTTTGTCTGGGGAACCACCAATAGGCTACTCCAGAGGCCTACGGGACATTGATTACCCTGGAGAGCTGACCTTGATCAGAGTCTGACCATCGGCCACACCCAGGAACCAGGCTTATTCATTGTGAGAGAAGCAGATCCATCTCTAGGTCAGATGTATAATAACAAGGTTCATGAAACAGCTATAACGACTGCAATGCGGATAGATTAAGAAGTAGATTGTTACCGCAACCAAAATCAGGAATGTGTACAGCCAGCCCTTTCCTCCCTTTAGACAGACTCACTTTACCTGTGACACCACCAAATGCCCAGGGGGTTTCTAGGGAATCACAAAATCTGAAAATGGGAGTTATTTTTCCAGGTTCTTTGTCCTCGGGCCCTTTGTGCATTCCCTACCCCAGGAGGAAATTCTAAGAGTTGATTTTTGTAGATTCAGATACTGAACATATTACAGCACCTTTCCAAAAAGCGGGACCTAGGGTCTTTCCTGATGAAATGCTACCCTCTACCCATGATAAGAATCTAGTGTTTAAAGGACCAGGAATACCTGGTCCTTGCCTGGCTGGCCCAGAGTCAACCCAGGAAGAAGGAAAGGCCTTGGGCTCCAAACCTGAAATGCAGATGTGAAAAATGACTGAGCTTTCGGAGCACATGGCCTGTTGCCCCTTATTTGTCTTCAGATGTTCCAGGTGTGTCCCTTGTTTATCCACAGAAAATGCCACCAGTGAGCTGTGTCAAACCTTCGTCTGTCGTTTCAAATGCAGAGACTCTCATTCTAAGTCTCCACATATCAGCTGGCACCACCAACAAGGGACAGTGACATCAGAACAAGGACAGGCCGAGGCTGAGTACCACACAGAGCAGTTCCTACCAAAGGAATGACCATGGTTTTGTGTGTGTGTGTTTTAATGTTCTTTTTGGTTGTTAATCCTCACCTGAGGATATTTTTCCCATTGATTTTTAGAGTGAGTGGAGAGAGGAGGAGAGAGAGAGAAATATCGATGTGAGAGAGACACATCAATTGGTTACCTCCTGCATTCGCCCAGACCAGGCCAGGGCTGGAGCCTGCAACCGAGGTATGTGCCCTTGACTGGAAGCAAACCTGCAATCCTTCAGTCCGAGGTCCAATGTTCTAACCACTGAGCAACCAGCTAGAGTACAATCACTTTTTTTTTTTTAATTTCAGAGAGAAAGGGAGAGGGACAGATAGCAACATCAATGATGAGAGAATCATTGATCAGTTGCCTCCTACTGAGGATTGAGCCCACAACCTAGGCATGTACTCTTGACCGGAATCAAACCCAGGACCCTTCAGTCCGAAGGCCAATGTTCTATCCACTGAGCCAAACCAAGTAGGGCATGATCACATTTTTAAAGCACAAGTATAACTTCTCATATGTATTAATGCACCAAGTTTAAGGACATCTGGGTTATCACATTTACTGTCTTCCTAATGACCTGGAATGAGGTCCTCTACAGCCAATCATGTATTATTATGTGCACAGAAATACTTCGTCTTTTGTTTTGTTTTTTTAATAATTCTTTACTGTTGAAAGTATTACATATGCCCCCTTATTTTCCCCCATTGACTCCTTCTAGTCTGCCCCTCTCCCCCGACCCCAGGCCCTCACTGCCTTATATAGGCATGGCCTCGTCTGTGTCCATGGGCCATGCATATATGCACAAGGTCCTTGATTGATAACTTCCCACCCACCCACCTTCCCCTGCCTTCCCTCTGAGATTCTGCATTCTATCCTGTGCTTCCTTGTCTCTAGATCCACTCCGTTCATCAGTTTATTTTGTTATTTAGATTCCACATATGAGTGAGGTCATGTGATACTTGTCTTTTTCTGCCTCACTTATTTCACTTACCGTGATACTCTCCAGGTCCCTCCATGCTGTCTTAAAGTGTAAGAGATTCTTTTTTACTGCCGCATAGTATTCCATGGTATAAATGTGGCACAGCTTTTTTATTCACTCAGTTCTTGATGGGCACTTGGGCAGTTTCCAGATCTTAGCTATTGTAAATTGCACTTCTATAAACATAGGGGTGCATATATTCTTTCTGATTGGTGTTTCAGGTTTCTTAGGACATATTCCTAGAAGTGGGATCACTGGGTCAAGTGACAGTTCCATATTTAATTTTTTGAGGAAATTCCATACTGTCTTCCATAATGGCTGCACCAGTCTGCATTCCCACCAGCACTGCACGACTGTTCCTTTTTCTCCACATCCTCTCCAGCACTTCTTACCTATTTAGGTCCTTTGCCCATATTTTAATTGGATTGTTTGTCTTCCTTCTGTTAAATTGAATGAGTTCTTTATATATTTGGATATAAACCCTTTATCAGATGTATCATTGCCAAGTATGTTCTCCCATACAGTGGGCTCCCTTTTCGTTTTGTTGATGGTTTCTTTTGCTGTGCAAAAGCTTTTTATTTTTTTATAGACTCATTTGGTTTTTTTCTCCTTAGTTTCCTTTGCCCTAGGAGATTTATTGGTAAACATATTGCCATGAAAGATATCTGAGATTTTGCTGCCTATGGTTTCTGCTAAGATTTTTATGGTTTCATGACTTACATTTAAGTCTTTTATCCATTTGGAGTTAATGCTTGTGTATGGTGTAAGTTGGTGGTCTATTTTCATTTGTTTTGCATGTACCTGTCTAGTTTTCCCGACACCATTCATGAAGCTATCTTTGTGGCTCGCGAGCCGCAGCTTGCCAACCACGGCCCTAGGAGATGTATCCCTAAATATACTGCTATGAGAGGTGTCTGAGATTTTGCTGCCTATGGTTTCTTCTAGGATATTTATGGTTCCATGACTTAAATTTAGAAATACTGTTTTTTAAAAGAAATTGTCCCCTGCTGCATTGGGCCACCACTTCTTGTGTGATCTCCTTCCTCTACTATTGCCATTGCCACCCCTCCATGACCCATCGATCTGCCCTCCAAGTGACCCGAAGCACCTCATGGCTCCCCATAATCCAGACACACAGCACCCTTTCCACTGTGATGACGCCCTGATACCCCCTTGCTATATCTCCTGCCGAAAAACCAAGATGCAAAGATTGTGCCAACCCAGGACCCAAAAACCTGGCTTCTTGTGATATCCTGCTAGACATGGTTGGCGAGTATGACCCTCAGATGCCAAAATGGCCATCACCAGAGGTCATTCACAGAGACCATGAGCTCCCCGTCCCCTGGGAAGCCATGGCCGACCCAGCTGAGCAGTGTGTACTCATCTACCTGCATCAGCACAAGCTGTGGCCCAGATGCTGAGTAGTAGTGAAGAGCACAGTAGGGTGGGCCCCATCTATGACAAGATGAAGGAGAACTTTGGGGAGGAGGTGGATGCAGTGGGAGAGCCTCGATGTGCACTGACCACTATGTTGTACCAGGGTTACCCAGCTTAATCCCACCTGGAACCAGCCCAACCAACACACTGAGGCCGGGCTCAGGTGGGCAGTGCATCTGGTTCAGAGTAGTTTCTGCAGAGACTAGTCTTCTACCAGCACAGCTGGCGGCCAGCACAGGTCTGGGTGGAAGAGGCCCTGGCCCAGAGATTCCAGCTGGACCCAGTAGAACTGGAAAAAGATGGCTGTCCCTGATAGGAGCCTCTCTATCACCCAGAATCTGGGCTGTCACCCCTGGTGACCATTGCCTTTGTTATCTACAGTGACCAGGCTGGACAGTGGCAGGTACAGTGTGCCCAAGGAGCTCCATCTGGTCCACGTCTGGTCTCCATCCAGAAGATCCCTGCCAGAGCCATGCTGGGGTCTTCCGGGCGAGGCCCAAGGCCAGGTCAGTGCTGTTCCTGGCTGCATCTATGTCCATGCCAGTGGCTTCACTGGTGGTCACCACACCCAACAGGGTGCCACCTTGGCCCAGCACCTATGCCTCCCACAAATCCCCTCATCCAATAAAATGCTTCCATTTAAAAAAAGAAAGAAAGAAATGTGCAGAAATAAAATTGCATGTGCAGCTCAGGGAACTTGTTACACACATTTCCCTGGCTCAGAGGCCAGGGGGACGCCTCGGATAAGCAGTGCTTCCTCCCGGAAAGAAGTGTTCTTGGCTGCAAATCCGTCCCATTTAGGAGAGGTCAACACGGTGCTTCTCCCGTCCACACTTGTCCTGTTACCTGAAAAATACCTCAAGTGGAAGACAGCCCCTGGTGCCAGCCCAGGTCCAGCACTCGGGCAGCCTTGGTGCAGCTCTGCTGGTCCCCAGGAGCCAAGAAAAGTGGTCCTGGAACCTTTCCTCCCAAGCTCACCCAGTGACTCCAGCCAGGGCTAGGAAAGGTGCCCAATGCCCTTCTCTGGGCTGGGATGGAGATGAGGGGCAGAGAGGCCAAGCCACACATCCCCAGAGAAGCCACAGCTGCCACTCATAGTGTGTGCGGCCCTCTGCTGGTTGGGATGGGGAAGTAGCTCCACAAACCACCTGGAGCCACCAGCTAAAGGGAACCTATGAGGGGCACACTTTAAGCAGCCCCAGAAATGCCAAGGTGGCCACTGAGCCAGCCTGCCATCATGACAGCGGGGATCTCAGCTCAGGGGCTCAGGCAGCCCAAGGGACGAGGGGGTGAAAGCAGGAGCCCCTCTCTCGTGGTTCTGCCACCTCTCCCAGAGTGGGGTGGGTTTGTCAGACCATCAGCCAAAAGGACGCTGGAGGGGGGCCAGGCACCAACAGTCAGCTGGGCCCAGCTGAGCAGAACTGGGGTTCTGCTCTGGGATTAGAGCCTTGGTTCTTGGCCCTATCAGGCCCAATGCCCAATTAAGAGTACTTTAATTTCCTACATTGAAATTGTGGAGGAGGTGGATGCATGAATCTATGAATTTCTATCCTAAATTGAAAGTCATAGATAATATAATTATTGTCTCTATAATTTAAAAAATAAATATAATAACCTCACTATAACATAGAAGAAATAAAAAGAAAAGCAATCCTC